GGAATATTATCTCTGGGCAGCACTCACTCTGTTTCTGCAGAGACATCCTGGTGCTTAGTGCTCAACTGCAAGTCACAGCAATGCTGGTTTTGCTTCTGTTGTGCTCAGTCAGGTATCTTGAGAAGAGTAAGTTTGATGTTGCCTTTACAGACCCTGTAGGCAGATGTTAGTGGAACATCTTTCAGTTCCTTCTGTGGTTTTGGGTTTTGGTTTTTTTTTAATGGGTAATGCCATGTTGTCTAGATTTTGAAACCACTCAAGTGTCCCAATCCCCCTTCTTACACCCTCAGAGTATTTACAGACCATGCAGGCTGCATGGACTTTCTGCAGTGTGCAAAGAAACTAATCCTGGACATCCTAAATTGTTTTCTCTGTGATTTTGTCTTTCAACCATACACAAAACCAGCTTCTGATTTCCCCCACTGTGCTGTTTACTGTGAAAACTGTGCACTGAGAGTTGTCTGGTATATACACCCAACACCACCAGCACGTGGACTGTGCTGGAACAAAGTGCTTATTATGCAGCCTTGCATTAAGCCAGTGATTATACATTTACCACACAGCAAATACCTTAAGGATCAAAAGTTAGGCTGGAGCACAGATTGCTTAAAAGCTTGGAGCTGATGCTGTTGCTTCAGTGCTGCAAGCGGTTTGCTTTTTGGGCTGCACTCATCACATACCTGGAGAAATGGGTCTGGCTCTTACACAAGTCATGGTGATGCTAGTTCTGCTCCTATCCATGTTCAGTTTGGCTGATGGTGGGAAGCTGCTGGTGGTGCCAGTGGATGGGAGTCATTGGCTTGGCATGCGGGAAGTGTTGGACGGTCTCAGGCAGAAGGGACATGAAATACTCGTCGTTGCACCTGAAATCAGTTTACACATAAAGCCCTCTAAGGGTATTGTTATGAAAACATACCCAGTCCCTTTCACACAGGAAGAGATGGATGGAAGCTTCCAAGCCTTTTTGCAGGATATATTTGAAGAAGGATCATTCCTGGAAAGATTTATTAGGATGTACCAACGGACAAAAGAAACCTCTGCCATGTTGATGGCCAGCTGTAAACAGTTACTGTACAACAAAGAGCTTATCAGCTATCTTGAGGAGAGTGAGTTTGATGCTGTCCTTACAAACCCTATACTACCCTGTGGGCAGATAGTAGCAGAGCGTCTCTCACTTCCTTCAGTGTTTCTCTTGCAGCAAATGCCATGTGGTTTAGAATATGGAGCCACCCAATGTCCCAGTCCCCTTTCTTATGTCCCCAGGATGTTCACAGGACTTACAGACCACATGAACTTCCTCCAACGGGTGAAGAATCTAATCTTTGACTTCCCGAATTATTTTCTCTGTGATTTTGTCTTCCAACCATATGCAAAACTGGCTTCTGAGGTCCTTGAGCGAGATGTCACTGTGAATGATCTCTTGCGCCAGGCTTCCGTTTGGCTCATGAAGGTAGACTTTGTTTTACACTATCCGCAACCATTGATGCCCAACATGATTATGGTTAGTGGAGTAACCTGTGCTCACAAGAAGCTAACTCAGGTGGGTTATACTCTGTTTTTTCTTGTTATCCTTGCAGGCTTTGACAGACTCTGAAACACACAGGTTTTGTTCAAATGGTTTCTTTCTGTGGGTGATAGTAGGGTCTTTGTGAAGAGGTGCCAGTACTGATTTCAGTGAAGGCATCTGAATATCCCAGCATAAAGATGGAGAAAGTGTATATGGAATCAGATCTGGAAAACTCCCCATTGGTCCCGTGCCTCTGCTCTAAGCCAGCTTTGACATTAGACCAAGTTGCTTTGTAGCCTCTTCATTCCAGGCTGTTGATGTGCAAGGCAGACTTCCATTTGAGAAGACCTTTGCTCATTCTGTGTTCCAGCTTGTCACGCTGCTTTCCTCTACAATCCTGTCATTTTTTTCATTTAAAGAGGATTTTCTGTGATTTGAATTGTCACAGATTCATAAAACATTCATTTGGAAGGTCCTTTGCAGGCCCCACTGCACACCTCCTAGCCAAACCATGTCCAGTTAGTTCAGGTTGTTCCATTCTATGTCTTGTCAGGTTTTGAGTATCTCCTATGACCCTTATAGTGAAAACAATTCATTATATCCTATTTATTATTCTTATCCTATTGTATTCAATTAAAATTTTCCATGCTGCAGCTTGTGCCTGTTGCCTCTTGTCCTGTCACTGTCAATCTCCTGGAAGAGTGCAGCTTTGTCTTCTTCATGTCCTCCTGCTAAGGGAGTTGAAGACAGCAATAAGATCTGTTATCTTTCTCTTCCCAATCTTAAGCAAGCCCATCTTTCTCAGCCCCTTTTTGTACACCACAGACCCCAGACTCTAACCATCTTTCTGGCTTTTGCTGAACTTGCTTCACTACATTAATGTCTGTCTTTGTATTGGAAAACCCAAAACACGTCTTCACATGTCTCTCAAGTACTGAACAGAAGGCTCATCTCTTTCAGTCTTCTGGCTGTACTCTTAGTTGTATAGCCCAGGATGCTATTGCCTCTGAGGCTGTGAGAGCACAAACTCAATATCACTCACATTCAACTCTATCCATAAAGACTCTGGGTCATTTCCTGCAGGGCTGCTGTCTATACAGCTGGAGTGCAGCCTGTCCTGTGCCATGGGGTTATCTCATCCTAGCAGCAGAAGTTTGCTTTAGCCTTTGCTGACCTCATGCAGCTGCTGTTGGCCCATTTCTCCAGCTTCAGAAAGAACTATTCCTCTTAAGTAAGTTTTCCAGATACTGACTATGTAGAACAGTGAAATAGGGCTGATTTTTCAGACAAAGCTGACTCTCCTGCAGTAAAAATAAAGCCTTCTTAAGAGGATTCGAACTGGGCACTCAGTCTAGAAAAGAAGAGATGGAGTAAACCTGATAGCTAAACCTATGAGAAGAGCTATGACAGGATCCCTGACAGAGGTCTATAAAATCCTGCAAAGTCTAATGAAGCTGAAAGGGGACCTAATATGTGGTTTCTTCCAATACTTCACCTATGACTAACACTGAAATGTGGTGGCAGCTAGCTTAAAGCTAACAAAAGCAAGTACTTCTTCACACCATCCACCTCCAAAAAATCTGCCTCTCAGCACCAACAGATTAATTCCATTGTAGACAAACCCTATGGATTTAAAAAGGATTTGGGTGGTTAACAGGAGGTGGTTGATACATTCTGACTGCCAGGATTTAGAGATTTACCAAAGAGGTTATCATGGAGTCCCCTAACTTGGAGTACTTGCTGTACCACTTCCAGCATACAGTCTTGGCACTCAACTCTGCACTTAGCTTTACTTTCTCCTGATAGATATCTCTTTTTCTTGCCTTTGGAACAGGCTGAACTGTGGACTTCAGTCTCTGGACTCACATTCACGTGAAAGAGCTTTTGTGTATTGCTCAAATTGTAGTGACGCAACTCTCACCCTTAAGGGGGTTGTTGGTTTGGTTTTACCTTTCAGTGTGGTTTATATCATTTTATAATAGCGTTACACAAATAATGCGCATCTGGCTGAAATGTTAGAAGAACTTACAGACTATGTGAAAGCCACTAATATCAAACAGGAGAGCTGAGAGCCTGACTGCAACTCTGGGTATATCTCTGGGTGCATACTGCCACCTTGGGGCGTTTGTAGTGATAGAATCCTAGAGTGGTTTGGACTGGAAGGGAATTTAAAGCTCACCCAGTTCCAACCCCCGCCACAGGCAGGGACACCTTCCACTAGAGCAGCTTACTCCAAGCCTCTGTGTCCAACCTGGCCTTGAACACTGCCAGGGATGGGGCAGCCACAGCTTCTCTGGGCACCCTGTGCCAGCTCCTTGGCACTCTCACAGGGAAGAACTCCTGCTTAAGAGCTCATCTCAATCTCCCCTGTTCTGGCAGGTTAAAGCCACTCCCCTTGTCCTGTCCCTACAAGCCCTTGTCCAAAGCCCCTCTCCAGGCTTCCTGTAGCCCCTTTAGGCACTGGAGCTGCTCTAAGGTCTCCCCTTAAGGAGCCTTCTCTTCTCCAGGCTAAGCAAGCCCAGGTGTCTCAGCCCGTCTCCAGCATCATCTTGTTATGCGAGATCTTTTTCTCTCTGAGACATGAAAATGCACACATAGGTACTTCAGCTAACTCTGTGGCACACAAGAATACCTTCTGCCCACCTCCTTTAGTTTTTGGTCTTTTAATGTCACCTCACTGCCAGCTAGAGGTAAAGGTTTTGCTTAAACAGGCTGCAGAACAGGACTGTACTGATGTCTGAAACTCCTTCCTCTTAATGCAGTTTCCTTAGATGTTACAGTCCTTCCTGCTGGCTTGTGAGAATCACAGTGCCACATGTAGGGCATGCTATCAATGTGAACTTTTTAATAACAGTATTAGCCTTAGAATGTGCTTATCACCCCCAGGTACCTTTGGCAAAAGTAACGATTTCACGAACCAGATATCCCATCACTCCTACCTGCTCCGAGACAGCTCTTCCAGGCTCCTGCACAGCTTGAAGAAATCATTCAGAGCTCTCTCCAATCAGCTGTGCTTGGTAGGAGGGTATAAAGCAGTATCTCTTCTCCAGCCATTGCTCTTGTTCAGTTATCATTCTTGTATCTCATTGTGCCTTTGCAAACTTCCAGCATTCATCTTTTCCCTTTCCATGAAATATGCCTTAATGGCAGATGAGATCTGCTCAGTCAGGTACTTCTTTTCAGCAAAAATTGCTTTTCTAGGTTTAGCTTGAAAGTTTTCATGTGTTTTTCCATGTTCTCCCTTTCTAAGGACATAGATTTGTTTAGAGGCACATACTCTGGTTACCCATTAGATTCCACTGCACTGTTAGCTGCAGCTTCAATCCAGGTTCTCAAGAATAATTATGAGCTTAAATCCCATTCAAATCCATCTGATTTGGATATCTAAACAAGTCTTTGGAGTAGGATAATCTTCCACATCAGATCAGCCTCAGCTGATCACAAGCAAACCTTCAAAACTTTCAGAGGCAAAAACCTTCTTCTCAGTGTTCAGTCCCAATCTCCCAAACTGCTCTTTGTGGTCCTGATTATGCTATTTACTGCTACCTGGAAAAGTTGGGCTCCAGCATCATTGTTACACCTCATCAAGTAGCTATAGGCTGTGGCTGAGTTATAAAGAACAAGACTTCCAACATGGTGGGTTGGATTTTTTTGCCTTAAAAATCTTATCATAGCACAAGCAGGAGCAGCTCAGAAACTCTGTTCTCCCTTTCTTCTGGTAAGCACAGAACACAAGTGTGGGTTTCCCTTGGCTCATACCACAGCCAAGCTTTATACTCCTGAAAAGAAACCGTTACTGAGACCTTTCAACACTGTTAGGCCTGTTGACCTCTCACCTATGAACTCTTGTAGCCCCTCTTGAGCAAGGACCACATATTCTGCTGCATCGTTACTTTCAAAGAGACGTTTGGCCTCAAGCCACTCACCTACAAACTCTTATGGCCTCCCTTGAGCAGGAACTGCATATTCTGCTGCATCACTGTCTTTGGTTAATATGTGACTTTGGTGACACCACTGCTGCTCGTGCCAGCTCTTGCTTACTATGGAGAGCATCTTGTGTGAACTCCAGGCACCTTTCTGAGGTACAAGAGAAAGTTGAGGTCTTTCATGTCAATATTGCAACATGCTCAGTGGCCATAAAAGTAGATTCCTGACTTGAATCTGGCACAGGGCTGTCAAGTACAGTGACTCAAAATAACCCTGACGCAGCAATATCCCTTCGCAAACAACTAATCAAAGGTCCTGCTAATTGTTCTGAATCATGTAAGATAATTTCAATGCAAGGAAAATGCATTTTCCTTTACATCCCTTGATAGCACTCTTATCGATGCTTTTTATCACTGTCTGAAACACGATCTTTGAACGTCAACAAGCTGTCATAGTAAACATTTTGTAGAGGGAAAGACTAAAGACCATCAAGCATAAATAAGGTACAACTCTTTCTCGCTTTTGTATGCTGCTTGGAAGTAAGAAGGAACAGTTAATTCTTTTTCCTGCTGATAGTCCCAGGACGGTGATGTGGAAGTACCAGATCTACAAGGGGCTTGTTCTTTTTCTTTCTCTCTGGAGTTTGGCAGAAGGTGGGAAGCTCTTGGTTATGCCTCAGGATGGAAGTCACTGGCTGAGCATGCGTGTGGTTCTGGAAAAACTCTGGGAGAGGGGGCATGAAGTTGTTGCGGTGATTCCTGATGCTGCTTTGCTCCTTAAAAGCTCACAATCTTTTACCATCAAAACATACTCCGTGCCTTACACGCAGGAGTTTGTGGATGAATTCTACAATTCCCTTGGTGAAATGAGTTTTACCAACCCTTCCCTTCTAGACAAAATCACATTATTCAGCAATTTATCAGAACTGACTAACATGTACACTTCTTCTTGTCGGCATCTCTTATATGATGAAGAACTCATGAAGTACCTCCAGGACAGCAAATTTGATGCCATTATGATGGATCCTGTGTTGCCCTGTGGGCCAATTGTTGCTGAATATCTCTCTCTGCCTTCAGTGTACTTCATGCGTGGTCTTCCATGCAATTTAGACTACAAAGCCACCCAGTGTCCAAGTCCTTCTTCTTATGTGCCAAAGATTTTCACGTACAGCTCAGATAACATGACATTTGCAGAGCGTGTGAAGAACTTCCTGGTTGGGGCTTCAGAGCACGTGTTCTGCGACCTGTTTTACTTGAACTACAAGAACTTAGCTTCTGAGTTTCTTCACAGAGAAGTAACAATGCTACAACTATTTAGCCAAGCATCCATTTATCTGATGAGATACGACTTTGTTTTTGAGTATCCACGCCCAATAATGCCAAACATGGTCTATGTTGGAGGCATCAACTGTAAGCAGAAGCAGCCACTATCAGAGGTTTGTCGTGGTTCACAGTGATACATGACATTTAGCATATATTGATTCTAAATATAGCATTTATTAGCAATTATTTAAGATATGCTTCCTATAGTAGTATTTGTGCTTGAGCCGATATGTGATCGACTAGCAGGATGGCATGATTTGGGAGCAGGAATCTCAGGCTCTTGTAGACGATCACCAGACTTGCACTACAAGCAGCTGTAGGGTTTCTCTTCAGGAGAGCTTAGGTGAAGTTGACTAAGCTATGTAGCTGCCTAGGTATGGCTTAGCTTATTGTAAGCATATCACTATAATCATAGCTTCTCTGGGCAACCTGTGCCAGGGCCTTACCATCCTAACAGGGAAGAACTTCTTCTTAACGTCTCTTCTCAATCTACCCTCATGGAATGTATGCTATAGCTAGATAAATAGCAAAATAATTCTAGATCAGATAATTTAATATCCCTAACAGTTGAATACTGATTAATTGCAGGAGATTTGATTGGCCAAAACATGGAAATGTGGATTTAACTCTGTGGATATACCCAGGCACTTGTACTGTGCTGTAGAGCCTGATAATGTGCTTGAATACCCTAAAACCAGGGATATGCAAAGACATTAGAGGGAGCTCTTTTGCCTCTGAATTTGTATAAGAAGCAATACAGGGGAACATATAAGAGAATGCTTGGAAAAAGAAGCCCTTGGGATTCTAAGTACCCACCATCCCTCCCTGTTTTAAGTCTCCCAAGTGGCTCTGCAAGTAGTGCAGATATCAATGGTTTGTTCTGTTTTCCAGACCACAGTGGTGTTGCAACAGCAGAAGTTATTGCTAAGCTTGCACCATCACATGTACTTCTGTAGAGTGTGGGCTTTCACTTTGATAACTGCTATAATATAAAAAGAAATCTGAAGATAAACCTTATCAACTCACTCTATATCAAATCTCTGACAGTCATTGATTCTTGGTTAGCCTTGGGGAGCACAAAGTATTCCAAAGGTCAGGCTTTTATTCCGAGTTTTGTGTCCAGTCAGCTGAGCAGACTCAAGGCAGGGAGCTGATCATTAACTGGGTGTTAGTAAAACACTGACTGCTGGCTCAGGTGTTACCTCCCATTCATGACTTTTGTGCAGCCTTTCAGTGCCACATGCCCCCTCTCGCATTTGAACCCTCTCCTGTTAATTCAAGCATTCTGTGCCCACTTAAAGCCTTCAAGAAGATGATAAACCCAATCTTTACTCCCAGTTAAAAATTATCCTAATTTCTGCCTAAATACAGCCAGCCCATTAAAAATTAACCCCCTCAGTTAAGATTAAAGTTCAAAGTACCCCCTGATACAATCCTTGTTCCCTGCAATAGTTTGGCAGCTCTTTAAAACTTTGCTGACAGCACAAGGGAAATGGCTTCTTCAAATGTAGGATTTCATTCTCTTGCCTCCTGGCTTGTGCTTTTCCTGCTCCTGTGGACCTTTGCTGAAGGTGGAAAGCTCTTGGTTATACCCATCGATGGCAGCCACTGGCTCAGCATGCGCCCGGTTGTGGAGCAGCTCCAACACAGGGGACACGAGATCGTGGTGCTTGCGCCAGAGATAAACTTGCGGATAGGTTTGTCGGGGTATTATACCATGAAAACATACCCTGTGTCTTACACCAAGGAGTTTGTGGAGGCAGAGTTTAAAAAGCTGGGCTATAGGAGCTTCACACCTCAACCCTTCTCAGCAAAATTCTCCAATTTGGCAAACATCTCATCTCTTTTCTTGGATTCCTGCAAACGTCTCCTGAGTAACAAAGAGCTGATTGAATCCCTTGGAGAAAGCAAATTTGATGCTGTGTTTATGGATCCTTTTTTTCCATGTGGACAAATAGTGGCTGAACATCTCTCCCTCCCTTCTGTGTACCTTGTGCGGGGTCTGCCATGCAGCCTAGACTTCCACGCTACCCTCTGTCCACATCCTCCTTCCTACATTCCGAGGTTCTTCACTCGCTACACGGACCACATGAGGTTTCTCCAGCGTGTGGGCAACCTCCTTGCTAGCCTGAGCAGTTCCCTGCTTTGCAGTTTCCTTTATGCACCATACAATAGTGTGATCAAAGAATTCCTCCACCAAGAGGCAACACTGCTTGAGCTCTTAAGCCATGCATCTATTTGGCTCATGAAATATGACTTTGTGTTTGAGTATCCCAGACCCTTAATGCCTAATATGGTCTTGATCGGGGGCATAAGCTGCACTCAGAAAAAAGCATTATCCCAGGTTAGTTCGCTTTTTTACCCCTTTAGTTTAGCTCTGACTGCACTGCTCGTTCTCACCAGGAGATGGAGCTCTCGGCAGAAAGAATGGGGCGGGAGGTGCTAGGAAAGCAAAACGCCATCCGTTGTGCACTAACGTCCTCTATACCTGAAAGAAGGTTGGGGGGGGGGGGGAGGGCGGTCTCTTCTGCCAAGGAACAAGTGACAGAACAAGAGTAAACCGCCTTAAGGTGTGCCAAGGGAAGTTAGATGGAGATTAGGAACAATTCCTTCCCCAAAGGAAGCTGCCTATTTCCAGTGGCTTTCATTTGCGTACCAGTTCACAAGACTTCGTGCTAGGTGGGGCAACGCAGCAAGCCACATCCTGGTGGATTTCTGCAGGAAATTCAGGCAGCAAGTGGAATCCCCAGCACCCAGCTAGAGATCTGCTTCTTCTGTGTCAAATACTCTGTCCCAGAGCTGGACTGCAATTGTATTTTGCTTGAACTATGCCAAAATTCCTAAATATATGGCATATTTGCCACTTTCCACTAAGAAATTCTCCTCATTCTTAATGCTTTCTCTTATTTTCTCAGGTATTTTAGAGATGTGGTGTGTGGCACCCACCAAGAGGAGCAGATCCTAGTTAAAAAGACTACTAAAATAAGGTTATTTTAGGTGATTTTCTATTCCCAAAGCAGGGCTGCAAAACATTCCCTAAAATTAGTGGCACTTCAGAGCAGGAAGTCCGACCTTGGCACACAAAAGCACTCAAAGAACGGAGGAACACTGATGCGACTGGTCCCACAGAATATAAATAGGCCTTGGAATAGCTCTTTGTGTTCCACTGCATCCAGAACTGCAGGAAACAAGTCACCCACTGCCCAAAGAATTGGTATGAAAAGCACATTTGTAGTGTGGGGAGGATTCTGCAGTTCCCAGATGTCTGGGAGTTTATACAGAGCCAAGGCCAGAGTTCCTAATCATTAAGTTCCCATCTACGATGCCTTAGTGCAGATGGAGAGCATCTCTTCAGAGAAATCTAGTAAGAAAGAGAGAACTAAGCCCTGAAATGAGAGTTACAATTCATCTTCTTTGCCCTTAGGAGAGCATCAGGTCTGCTCTTGAGGGTGCAACTATCACCAAACCTTTGATGGCTCCTTCTGTCTGGAACACAGTCTCAAGTGAAGGGCCAGGGCACTCATAAACTAAGGGAGTCAACCTCAGTTATCCCCTTAGATCCCAAAGGTGAAATTCCAACAGATTTACAGGAACATCAGTTCATTTTGGTCCATTCATTTAACTCTGAGGCCTGCAACAATTCCCTCTGGTTTTGTCTTTCCTTCCTGGCTTTACCAGATAGTTCTCAATGGCACAGGATTTTTGCTCCAGCCTTTGGCTAGTTTTATGCTTCATTAGATCCCTCTGTTCTTGGATTCAAGTGACAGATCTAGTCCTATTAGTTAAACCAACTGACCAAAACAGATTAAAACCTGGCAGTGGTTCAATATTGCCATTACTTAAAGCAGACCCAGTAAATCCAAATAGTAGAAGTTACAATTATCTGCTATTAGAACACCTTTAAAACCAGTCTTCATTCTTGCAGCTGCATGGTGTGAAAAGAAGAATATCAACTCTAAATCCAGAGCATGTGATTGCAATGAATAGGAAAATAAAGCACGATGTAGTCACCTGGGGGGTGGTTGCCAGGAAAAGTCTGATGATGACTTCATCTCCTTAATTGCTCCAGCATCTTTTTTTGAAGCACAGACACTGATGTCTTGGAGCAAGCAGACTTTGCGACAGGACTGGTTTAAAGTCAGTCTTTTCTCACTTCCCTCCCGAATCTTGGTTCAGGCTTCAATTCTGCCAACACTCAGGCACCTCCTTAACTTTGTTCAGCCACATATGCCCACTTTTTTTGTCCCTGGGACTCATTTTCATATAGAATCACAGAATCCCAGCCTGGTTTGGGTTGGAAGGGACCTTAAAGCTCATCCAGCTCCAACCCCTGCCACAGACAGGGACACCTTCCACCAGAGCAGGTTGCTCCAAGCCCCTGTGTCCCACTTGGCCTTGAATACTGCCAGGGATGGGGCAGCCACAGCTTCTCTGGGCACCCTGTGCCAGCGCCTCAGCACCCTCACAGGGAAGAACTTCTGCCTTATCTCCAACCTGAACTTCCCCTGTTTCAGTTTGAACCCATCACCCCTTATCCCTTCGCTACAGTCCCTGATGAAGAGTCCCTCTCTGCACCTTTGTAGCCCCCTTCAGATACTGGACGCTGCTCTGAGGTCTCCACTCAGCTTCTCCATGCTAAACAGGTTATGGATATACATAGATATACAAAGATAGAGAATACAGATAACTAATTTTCCTGATCAGCATTTTGTTGTGTTGACCACTTATTTTCTTGCCTTTCCTGACAGTTTTGTGGGAACGTGACAGAACCTACGACATATGACATGAAAAGGACTTTGACTAAGGATGTGATTTGTGTTGGCAGGAATTTGAAGCTATTGTGAATGCCTCTGGAGAACATGGCATTATTGTCTTCTCCCTGGGCTCCATGGTCTCCGAGATCCCTATGAAGAAAGCCAAAGAAATTGCTGATGCCTTGGGAACAGTCCCTCAGACGGTATGGTTTCCCTCTTCCCCTTGCAGCACAGCAATCCAATGTGGTTTTCAAACACAGTACATGATTACCTTCAGCTTTCAGTGGGCTTGCTCCTCTCTTCTTTCTCCTGCTCCCTGATGCCAGAAAACCTACTGAGGAGCAGCAAGAGGCCACTTGCTGAGAACTGATATGTTGCTTACTTCTCTTGCAAGGTTTTGTGGCGATACACAGGAAAGGTGCCCCCCGACATGCCCAAGAACATAAAGCTCGTCAAATGGCTGCCCCAGAACGACCTTCTAGGTAGGTATGAGATACCTTGAGTGATACCAGCATGTTGCTTTCAATCCCATACTGCTGCTGTAAGGCAACATTGGCATCATTTATGCTGACTCCCTGCATCACTGTGGGTCACAGGGCTTCCTTAACAGACTTTGCTGTTTGAAAGAGAGCTTATCTCTTAGAAATGTATCTGATTGCACCTTCAAAACCACTGACTTACGAAACAACTCTGTTTGGAAAGTTGTCCCAACACTTGACTCTCTTATTGTCAAAAATGGAGGTCTTTATCTCTGCCTAGCCTCCAGTCATAAGGACAACATGAAGTTCTTGACTGACACCTACCAGTGCTATTTTCTGTGGCAGTTTTTCTCTAGGGATGTGTTACTGTGACTGCCTAAATCAAAGAGCTAAGCAAGTCTTTCTTTCCTCCACAGCTCACCCTAAGACTCGTGCCTTTATTACCCACGGAGGCTCCCATGGCATTTACGAGGGCATATGCAACGCAGTGCCGATGCTGCTGATGCCTTTATTTGGAGACCAGATGGACAACGCCAAGCGAATAGAGTCACGGGGGGCAGGACTGACACTGAATATACTTGAAATGACTACACAGGACATAACCACTGCCCTGCATGCAGTTATTAATGATAAAAAGTCAGTAATAGAAACACAGCCGTTCTACTCTTATCTAACACCACCATGCTAGCTTCCAGCTTAACAGAATGTTAAGCTGCTCTTATATGCCTTCTTATATCAAAGTTACATCACTAAGAGGCTGATGCTGGCCCCGGGTTAACCTCATCCTGTCCCTGTAACAGCACTCTCCTTCTCGCTGCTCAGGAATACAAGCATTAGGTGACAAGAACCAGCTGATATGAGAGGATTCACGTATCAGAGAAGATGGGGTATATATGCAATGGAAGAAATCAAGTTGACAAAAGATGAGCACAAAGCCAAATTGACCAGGCAGTGATGTAGAGGGCTTTGATACAACATGGCAGAAAAGGCAATTGGTGAAGGGAGATGTGGCACTGGTTTTGTTCCCCAGATTGGTGGTGTCATGGGTTAGTGGGGAGCCTGAAAAGGCTGAAAGGCTCAGCTGCCTGGCTAATGCTCTATGGATGAAGATATCCCAAAGAGAGGCAACTGGAGGTGCCTCAGTGTAGTTCAGAGGCTGTGCTGCATCAGGAAGCGCTGCCTTCCAGCTTCAGGGTTTATTAAACAGACCTCATTTACAGAAAGGCTTTCTCAGTCATATCCCCTCCCAGTGCTTGTATGAGCACAGTGAGCTGCTGCCTGGCTTGGCAAAGCTGGACAATTCCAGCACAGAGCTGGAGGAACACGCAAGAGTATGCTGAGGCAGTACAGGGAACTACTCTAGGCACCACTGTATTACAGTTAGCATGCCCAAGATTTTTTAAGGCATCACGGTGAAGGGGTGCTTCAAGACCCTCCTGCCATAGGCAGGGGTTTGGAAATAGGTAGATCTTAAGGTCCTTTCTAACCCTAACCATTCTATGATTCTATGACATATCCTCCTCTTCCCTGCTTCTCTGAGGGCTTCTCAGTATTTGGCATCCTCTTCCCCATCATGTTTCTGAGAAATGGCACCTTATTGTCATTGCTTCCTAAGCAGTATTCTTAGAGCAATGGTAACAACAGTAATAATAATGCATCTTGAGCTTGAAAAACTGGATGGTTTTTCTACACTCAGTCACATTTCAACCAGATACCTTCACCCCAGAGATTCTGATGACAGCTCAAACTAAGCTTTTTCTTTTTCTTCTTTCCTAAAACCTTTCCCTCTGTTTTTGCCATTGAAAACAGCACTTCTCTGGGCCCATAACTTTGCTATTACCCTTCTCGTGGGGTGGTGGAGAAACACCACCACAGAAATTCCCAGTGAGCTATAAGCCAAATAACACTGCATCCTTTGCCTCTGGGGCCACAGTCTCAGAAGAACAAGTCACTGAAAGCATTGAACATCTTCTCTTGACAGGTACAAAGAGAACATCAAGCGTCTCTCAGACCTTCACCTCGACAGGCCCATCCACCCCATGGACCTGGCTGTGCACTGGGTGGAGTTTGTAATGAGACACAAAGGAGCCCCACACCTCCGACCTGCTGCTCACGACCTGAACTGGATCCAGTATCACTCTCTGGACGTCATTGCCTTCCTCATTGTCGTGGTCCTCCTCTCCCTCTTTATTTCTCTGAAGTGCTGCCTGTTCTGCTGCCGCAGGTGCTGCTGTAAGAAGGGAAGAACAAGAAAGCCAACCAAATCCAAGTCCCACTAGCAGGTGAAAGCAATGGTAGGAGATAAACCTCTGCTCCAGACCACATGATCAGAGACCATCCCAAATTTCACTGATTGCTGACTTTCAGTCAAGAAATAGTAGTTCCTTTAAACTAGCACCATGGGAGGGGTTGTTTCACTGATATAATTGTTGCCTTTAATTAAGAATTGGTTATTAAAATTACTTTGTATAGGAGCACTTCAGTCACTTGGGAAGATACTAGTGTTAAGTCCAAGGCTCCTGGCTTCCACATCTTGGTGTACAGAGGATTCACGTTGACTTCCTTTTTTTTACCTCTATTGCAATGGAGACACACACACATATATATATATATATACACATATATATATAGGGATTTCATGAGATTTTGCTTCAAGGGCTTTAGGAGATCAATTTGCTCTACTTTAAGGCTATCAGGTTTATCAAGCACTTTGAAACCTTTGTATAGCTGTTGTTAAAGAAGAGGCAAGTGTTATACACTGACAGTACGTGTCACATAAGCTACCTAGATGCACATCTTACATGGATTTTGTGTGTGCTTACAGTCCCCTAAACAAAATTAATATTTTGGCAGGGAAGTCATTGTAAAGACACTGGTGTTTCACCCAAGTTCCCCATGAGGCAGAGTGCTATATCTGAAGTTTACCTGTTAGGTGATCAGAGCTTTGTAAGCATCCTTGTTCATAAAACCCAACTGATTTACTTGTTGTAAATTTTGTTCAGGTGGAGACCCAAAGCCCAGCCTTATAAATAAATCCCCAGTACTAACAATAATGGCTCTTGTGTTTTCTAACTTGAGAGATATGGGGCTGGAGAAGGGAAAGCTTGTTCAATCATGGGGAGCGAGCTGGAGAAGCCTCGCAGTGTGGAAGCTACCTCAATGCACAAAAGCCAGTTCTCGGCATCACTACTTGGTGATTCAGTCCTCACTGAGAGGTTACCTCTTGAAGCTGATACAGTTCACATTGCTAAAAAGTCAGAAAAGACCTTAAAGTTAATACTGAGGGCTCAAAACAGACTGGAACAGCCTAGCATATCATGGCACAGGCATCCTGCTATGTACCTGCTGCTGTTCTTTTCTATTGCTGTTTGAAAAAGCAGGTACTTCAGTGGGAGCTGTGAAGCTCAAGAAGACAGTCCGTCTTCTCCTCAGCCTGTCCCCATTGCAGCGCCTGATTCCTGGGGGCACCCATGCCAATGCAACCTGTCCAGGAGCTTTCATCTTCTGCCTTTGCCTCCCCTCCTCCTGCCCCGGTAAACAAAAGGAAACCCTTCTTTGGGTCACACAGAGAGCCTCCACTGTGCCTGAGAGCTGCTGACCTGCTTTTAAGATGCAGCTTTTGCAGCTCCACACAGTTCCTGCAGTGACATGTCTGGATGTCCCCATGGTCCATCCAGTGACTTTCTCTGCATGGACAAGAGAAAACCCCCTTGATTTCAGATCAGATGAACAGAGTTAGAAATAATTAATCTTAATTGGCTTTGTTATGGTTTAATTAAAAAAACTCTTGTGTAGGAGCTAAAAGAAAGGGAGGAAGACTAAAAATATCCATCCCATGTCTTCTAGAAAGAACTTGAACTCAACTAAAGCAAAACAGCAGCAGAAACCAGGTGTTCGCCTTTTCCCTTCGCTCTCCTTAGCCTCGCCTCTTTTGTCCTGCTCCTTCTTTTCCCTCGTTAAAATGAGATGGAGAAAAAGGGATCTTGGGAATGTGCAAGGCCAGGACTGGCGAACAGTCCCGTTTGTGTCGTTTCAGCTGTGCCCAGCAGAGGGCAGTCCAGTATCATTAATGCTATCACTGACGGGAAGGAGCAAGAACATCCTTCCCTACCAAGGCAGAGCCAGTGGGCTGGGGAAAGTTCTAGTGATTTGGCTGCCCCGTGAATATGGACCCTGCTGCTCAGGGATGGATTTCAGAGTGAGTGAGGAGCCAGAGAGTGTGGGGCAATCATCTCTGGAGCAGAGCTGAGACTGGGTGACTTTCCAAAAGGGGAAACTGAGGCAGGGATGACCACTGCTCCTCTCCCCGTGCTGCACAGGCTCCACCTCACTCCAGTGTCCAGGCACCGCAGCCTGAGCTTTGCCAGCAAACCCTTAAATTTCTGCTTTGAAACACGTGCCAACAGACAGGAGCCAAAACCCCTTCTCTGCCCTTGCAGAAAGGAGGCACAAACTGATGGTCAAAGAGCAAGAAACAGCAGTGACCTCCCAGTGAGCACCCCATCCACCTCCACTGTGCAGGGTGCCTGGTGCAGCCACCAGCACACGGATCCCAGTGCTGCCTTGCCCTGCTTGCTCCCATTTTCATGCTCACACTGCAATGACTTCACTTGATTTAAGAAGTAAATACCTGCTGCAGCAACAGCAGCCAGGACTCCAGTTGTCATGGGGGGGCTGCATGGGAGTTCCCAAACCCCCTTTCAGCCTTGCTTCCCACTGTTGGAAAGCACTGAAAGCTCAAGGCGAGTAAACATGGAGTAGAGGCAAAGGGATGCGACCTGCCAAGGGCAGCACCAGCCCCATTTAACAGCAAAACAAGAAGAAACAATGCCCCCACCATCACCACCAAGAAAACATCCCAAACTCAAAACCCCCCACCCCAAACCCATGTGCATCCACCAAATTGCGTCAGGATTGCAGGCACCATGCCTGTGATGGTCCAGAGCTCTGCCCTCCTCCCTGAAAGGGTGGGAACAGTGCAGGGGGGATGCTGTGTCCTGGGTTCAGCAGTAGCAGTCATTTTTCTCCTTTTTGGTAGCTGGTGCAGTGCTGTGTTTTGACTTATGGCCTGGGAACAGAGCTGCTAACAATGATGTTTTGGTTTGGCCAAGGACTTTGTGAGCCTCATGCTCTGCCAGGGAGGAGGGGAAGCTGGGAGGAAGCAGAGACAGGACACCTAACCCAAGCTAGCCAAAGAGGTATTCCATACCACAGCACGTCATGCCCAGGACGTAACTGGGAGTTACCCGGAAGGACACGGGCTTCTGGGTTGGACTCGTTTCCCGGTGGGTGGTATCGTATTCTCTTCCCTTGTTATTTTCTCTTATCATTGCTGTCGTTGGTGGTAGCGGTGGTGATTTGTGTTGTACATTGGTTGCTGGACTGTTCTTGTCTCAACCCGTGGGAGTTGCACTCTTTCGATCCTCCTCCCTATCCCTCCAGGAGCAGGGAAGGGGGGGGGGGTCGGCAGGCCTCGATTGCTTCCAGCCCGGCACCACTCACTGGGAGTGAGTGAACAAGCTGTCTGGCTAGGGTTTAAACCACGACATGCTGCCATCACTTCTGCATCCTCCTCTGGAGCTATACCCCTGCAGATCCCCATGCAGCATCCCAGTGGTGCTTGGCACCAGAGATGTCCCATCCCATGACACATTGCACTTGGTCCAGCTCCAGTTCCCAGGCAAGAGCAAGCCAGGTCCTTTTAGCAGCCACAATTAATTCACCTGCGGAGGTGGGTTAGAAGTTATTTGTAGGTGAGGTGATGAAACTTGGGGAAAACCCATGGCCAAAGTGAACCAAACCATGTAGGACAGGCTACCCCAGAAAAATGTGCCAGCACCTCACCAGCCTCACACAGAAGAACTTCTTCCTTATATCAAACCTGAACTTCCCCTGTTTAAGTAAAAATCCATCACCATCAAATCTCCATCACCTATTGTTTCCTCACTGCCTGAGGATGCTGGTACTCCTGGGAGAGGCAAGGATGTCTCTGAGCTCATCTGTCCCAGAGCAAACTCCCTGCCTATGGTGGATGGCAGGGCTCTCCCTATAAACTGCTGTTGCACGTTGCTTGACAGGTACTAGCAAGTGCTCCCAGCATCAATTCTCTTCCCATTAAGGAAGGGCAAAAGGTTTCATACACCAGATCTGATTGCTTAGGATGATAAAAGCAAGTCATCAGAACAGGCTGCTCAGTCATCAGCAAATCCTTAATCCCTGCCAGCCACACACTGGCCAGCTTATCCTATGGCATGACCTGGCTTCAATAGCCTGCCTGAGCAAATGGAGCAGATTTCCTCCCTGATATGCTCCCAGCCTGATGCTGGGGGTGACATTTCCCTCTTGGCTAGGGCAGAGCCAAGCAAGCTACATCTGTTACCAAGCATCCTCCCAGCGAGGGACCAGGCTTTGCAAACCATCTGCTGGAAGCTTTAATTACCATTCAGTGGGGGGTAATCACAGCAGGGCAGGAACTGGGGTTTGGCACCTTCCTGAGGCTGCTCAAGTAGATGGTGGGCGTGTCCCATCGAGTTTTGGCCACAAATGGGTGGTCTGAACTGCTTAGGGTGGATGCAAAATGATTTCATGTAGAGAAAGGGTCCAGTGATTGTAAGGGGTGGGGAAAGAAGGGGAAACCACAACCCAGCATCGAGCGAGTCTGGTAAGCAGTATCAAAACCAACACATTCATCTCCCCAGCCTGAGGCTCCTTCCTTTCCACGTAGGACATCAGGGTCCTTCCACCCCAAATCAAGCCATCAGTCACCCCTTGACTGCTCAGTGAGTGAAGCTTGCCTGGGTTTTGGCCAGAGTTCTCTTCACAAAGCCTTTGGAAAAAACATGCCTTTATAGCCTGCCTTCCCCCCCCACATTATAATGAAGAAGACTAAATGTGTCACCTGTAGCTTGGAAGTCCCTGGATTTCACCAGTGGATTAAGAGGCGAGCCCCAGGGGATGCTTTGGGTAAAGCCTGTTATGAGAACAAAAGACTTCCAACAGGAGGCTTGAGAGGGTCACCCTGGGAAAGCATGATAGGATAAACACCACCTCCATCCATTTAGTCATTCAAGCCCATGTTTTCCAAGCAATCAGGCCTGAAGAAGGTGGCTTTTGGTTATTAAGGTGCAAAAAGGTCCATCAGACAAGGAAACTTTGGTTAGACTTTGGTGACAAAGAAACCTGCCCTAAGAGGCAAACCTATGAGCAGCCCTTGAGCCACCTCCTCTCCTCTAAGCACTCGTGATCAGCTCCTCCTGTTGCAAGACAGGGGTGTCCTGACAGCAGCTAATCCAAGACAAGCATTTAATTAAGAGCTGGAAAGGAAGCAAAGCAATTGCTTTTCAGTGGGGATTTCTAGGGATGGAAATAGATGCCCACAGAGCTCCAGGGCTTTTAATCAGACGCTGGTTTTCATTGCAAACTGAGCTTGATGTGCAGACACCGAGCGCTGGTGAGGTCAAAGCAAACCTCATGGATAAACCAGCTCTTCTGTACAGACACTGATAACCCAGAGGTGACTTTCCTTCCCTCTCCCCTTCTAACACATCATCTTCAGTCATTAATGCTGAGCTGCTGTGAGATGATTGTTCCGTTGTGCTGGCTGAAGCAGAGGAGG